CTATCTCGCTTAGGCTTGCTTCACACATTGACAAGTGCATGGTATCTCACTTAAGCGAGATTTTATTTGCTCAAGTGAAATTAACTCATTTCACTTAAACTAGCCAAAATTCTCTTAAGCAAATGTTGATTGTAGGTTCATGTTCACCTTAGAACGGTAGAAGATTCATATCAATGAAAATTTATCCAAGTTAATCATTTTGTAATATTTATAATGATTCATTTTAAAATTAGTGTGTGTATATACTTTTAATGATTAAAGATAAAAAAAAATATTTATGATTTATTAAAATACACTATTAAAAAAATATATTATAAAATAAATAATTTAAAAGTAAATATTTACTTTGTACATGCACAAATTTTAATCTTTCATGATAAGTAGCGTTAAAATTAAATATGTGATAATATGTTGACACATGAAAGATGTTGATACAGAAGAATAGGATGAGTTGCTCCTCCAGTGTGGATAGTTATTTTGCATGATTGAAGGTGTTTGTTTGATTCATTGGTATATGTGTAATGGGTACTTCTATAACAAACACTCCAACACTCAAGTTAGGAGAATTATCCTAAGTTGTAGTATGAATTTGATTAGATAAGGAGAATATCTTCTTTATATATTAGTTTAGGTTGGTATGTATTAGAAATGTCAAGATAGACGATTGGTTGTATTCTTGAGACTGATTGACTCTGGATCATAAGGTACATGCTCTTGTTTTAAATAACAAGTTACATTTTAAGTAAAGATTGAAAAGTTAATATGTTAAATTTAAAATAAATTAGTTAAAAGTATATTAGAAATTTTACAAACCATCTAATATTCAAAAGTTAAGATTTATAATAATATAATAAAAATAAATAAAATATTTTTAAGTTAGGATGCATTTAGATAATAAATGAATTATTTGACCCTAAAAATGTTAGATGCTCTTGTTCCTGTTAAGGAAACACTAGTCTTCAGGTCCTTGCTCCGAAACGGTGACGTATCTCTAGTAGTCGCTGACGTGGAGAGGGTATCTGCAAAAGGCACTCCGATGCTGAAGTCAAGATTCGGTTCTGAATAATAAATGGTATTTAATAATGAAAAGTCAACCCTTTACCTGTACTTTTAGTTTCCTTATATAGGCATTGTAATGGGCTAATGGGCCTGTCAAGCTAGTCTTGATTTTAGCCCTTTATTTAAAATAAATAATATCTTAATTATTATCTTAAATTAGGTTTAATTACCTCTTAATCCTGACGAAGGGTATCCGGCCAAATTAGGCCGAATAGGTACTCGGTTTCCTTTTTCTACAAGTAGGACCGAGTTGGTCTCTATCCAGTACACTAGCCCCCTAAGCTCAAAGAGGGACGAAGTGAGGGCTTTAAATAATAAGTGGCAGTCGGTTAGGGTGAATTTTGAACAAGACCGAGGAGGGTACTCGGTATTGACTGGACAAGTGGTGGTAGCATTTACACTTAACTGATGTATATTGAGTGTATACCAAAGGATATTTGGTTTAGTAACAGAATGATGAAGACCGAGACAATAGATAAGAAATGAGGATATAAAAATAAACAATTTGTGAAGGAATATTCTAGAACATTAGCCATTAGGGCTTCCTCAGTGTGCATGAAATGAAAGGGTTCCCAACCTCATCCGTTGATCTGAAAAGGATCTGACAGTTCAAAAAGGGGGCGATCTTTCGTTTGCCCGAAACCAAATCCCCTATAAATATGTGGTGGTCCTTGCGTCTATTTTCTACTCTTTTGCTCTCTACCAAAACGTGCACACTATTATTCCAAACCGAAGGGTGGTCATTTTCCAGAGAGCTTCACTTTTCCTTCCATACCGACTACTTACAAGGTGCGTTTTAATTTCACTTCTTTTTCCTTCATGGCTGATTCTATTGAGTGGGAAGATTCTTTGTCCAATGTCTCAGGACCGTCTACTATCGAAGTAGACATTATAAACGAAACCGAGGGGAGTGGCAAAGTTTTATCAATACCAATCAAGAGGACTGAAGAAGCACAAGTCAGAGGATGCAGCACCGAAGCTGAGTCGTTTGCTTCAAGTGATACTGACGCTTCTGAACCCCTACCGAATACTAGCCCTCCTAGGGAAAGACAAGTGTTCCCCCCATGCACCATACCCAGATACGAGTGAGTGCACGGTGAAGTGGCCTTATACTTCTCTTGTTTTAGAAGAAATAAAAGTCTTCAATTTTTTGTAGATCATTGTGATATTTCCTTGTGGGAAGCCTCTGATCCGTATTCGATATACCTTAATCCTTGTAAAGGGGACAAAACCGAGAACCATGAGTTTATTTTCTTGGGAGGCGTCGGTATGGCCGACACCTTTTACATGTATGAATATAGGTTTAGAGAGTTAGGTATTAGGCTACCCTTTGATGACTTCCAAATGGGAGTTTTAAGGGTTTTAAATGTATCGCCGACGCAACTTCATCCGAATGGATGGGCGGCAATATATGCCTTTAGAATACTTTGTAAATTTCATTATATAGAGCCTAGTGTAGGACTATTTCTTCATTTCTTCTGTACCCACCCATCAAACTTAGCAAGGTGGGTATCTTTAATAAGGCAACCTGTGTTGCCTTTGTTTAAACCTTATGCTTCATCTTTCAAGGGTTTCAAAACTGGCTACTTCAAGGTAACTGTGGACCCTGAAGGTAGAAATTATTTTTTTGATAGTGAGAATAATCCTCTTTTCCCTTTTCATTGGACTCGGGCACCTCGTCGATACGATATATTTCTCGAGGACATGTTATCGACTAGGGAGTTATTGGATTTAGAATATTTGAAGTCCCTTCCCCGAGAGCTACCTGCCCGACACATACTCCTCGTGCTCAAGTCTCCACGTCCTCGTTGGGAGATGGAGGGTATGTATCATCTTTTTTAACTTACTTTGTGACTCAAGTTGTATTGATTTGACTTATTGTTTTTAATGTAGGCTTAATGGCTCAACGAGGTGTTGATGTGCCAACTTTCCGTCGTACTTTGAAGCAGAGGATGTCGGAAGGTACATCAGTTGAGGAGCACCGACACCCTTAACTTGATCATCTGCCAGAAATAGTCGACCCTAGCCCTCCTCCATAGGATCTGGCCCCGACAGAAAATCAGCCCAAGAGGCGCAAAGACAAGGGCAAAAGCAAGGAGGCCGAGAAGGAGAGAAAAAGAAAACATGCCCATTCGGGTATGCCGAGTGGTATAGAGGGGGTGCGCAAGCAAACCCGAACCACTGTTACAGAAGTGGCCAGTAGTTCCTTCCACTCAGTAATTCCTATTGCTATGCTAACCGAGTCCTTCTTGGCGTCTGGTACACATACTGGCCGGGTAGCTGCTCCTGACTTGCTGTCTGATTCGGGGAAAGAATTAGTCGATAGCCTAGACCTTGAATCTCTCTGGCGCTGTTTTGCAGAGCTACAAGTGCGATCGACAACTATGCTCTGAAGGTTGGTTGTGGATCCTATTCTTGAGATGAAGAATATGCAGAAACTCAAACCAGTCTTAGCGAGACTATTCAATTACTAGAAGCAGAGGTGAGTCAATATAAAGAGCACTACCGCATTGTGGAGGGTCGAGTTCAGGCGACCAAGGAGGCATTGAGGGTCAAGGAAGAGGAAATAGAGGCGCTGAGGGTGAAGTCTTCTCAGATGGAAGAGGCCTTACGAGCCAAATCAACCGAGATAGAAGAAGCTTTGGCACATGAAAGGCAGAGGGCTGAAACCGACATGAAAGCTTTTGCCGAGAAGTGTTCACAGCAAGTTGCTTTTGAACATGAGTCAGGTTTCAATCATGTCATTCGTCAATGTCATGGATTCTGTCAAGTCCCAGCTGATTTCCATTTTGACATTACTAAAGACTTCTTCGGCGGCATGTTCATACCATATAATGAAGTAGATGATGACGTGGAACCTGACGCCGAAGCCCCTAGCCGAGCTGTCCAGAACGAAAACAATCCTGCTCCCGAGGGCCCTGGACTGGATATTAGGGAAGGGCAATCATAGGACTATCGTTTATAATTTTCTTTGTACTGTCAGGCCAATAGTGCCTCAATTCTGTAGCCCTTTAAAGTGAAATACAATTTTAACTTATTTCCTTCTAATTTCTCTTTACATAACAATTAAATCGAATATTTCTCTTTCGTTTCTCGGACAAGTAAGGGTACTCAGGAGAATTCAACTTTAGCCAAATGATACTTAGAATTTTAATAATGATTCGTCCTTGGCCGAGTAGGGGTACTCGGGAGGGAAATTAATCAATTCTACCTTAGCCAAGTGATACTTGGGAGGAAATTTTAATAACGATTCATCCTTGGCCGAGTAGGGGTACTCGGCAGGGAAAATAATCAATTCAACCTTAGCCGTGATACTTGGGAGGGAATTTGAATAACGATTCATCCTTGGCCGAGTAGGGATACTCGGGAGGGAAAATAATTCAACCTTGACCGAGTAAGAATACTTGGCAGGGAAAATAATCAATTCAACCTTAGCCGAGTAATACTTGGGAGGGAATTTGAATAATGATTCATCCTTGGCCGAGTAGGGGTCTCGGGAGGGAAAATAATGATTCATCCTTAGCCGAGTGGGGGTACTCAGGAGGGAATTATTGATTCATCATTCGCTGAGTAGGGGTACTCGGGAGAGAAATTAAATAATGATTTGCTTGAAATAATTCCATAAATGAGAAGAAGTGAGAAGTAGTATTTTATTGATAAGGTGCCTCGTTAAAAACCTTCCCAGGAAAACCCCTTTTCACTTTCTTTTAAAAGGATAAAACCTGTGCAAGGAAAAGAGTACACCAAGTACAAATTACAAGTTTTCAACTAAAGTAATGCTTCAAATGTGTAAGATTCCAAGTTCTAGGTATAAGCTTTCCTTCTAATGTCTCCAACTTGTATGCTCCATTGTTTAATCTTGCCGATACCCAAAAGGGTCTATCCCAATTAGCCGCCAACTTCCCTTCCCGTCGATCTCGTCGTGCATCTCCGGTTACTCGTCATACCAAGTCATTCTCATAAAATTGTCTTGGGTTGATTTTAGAATTAAACTTCCTAGCCATCATTCTTCTGCTAGCTTCGGTCATTATTGCCGCTTGGCCGCGCACTTCATCTAGCAAGTCTAAGTTGACAGCTAGGGAGTAGCCATTGGCCGATTCCTCAAAGTTCTCCCTTCGAAAAGATGGTTCTCCAATCTCGACCAGTACCATGGCATCAGTACCATAGGTTAACTGAAAAGGGGGTTTCTTTTGTGGTAGTTTGCGGCGTACAATGATAAGCCCATAGTACCTCAGGTAGCTTCTCTGCCCATTCCCCTTTTGCCGACCCCAATCTTCTTTTTAATTCGCATAAGATGACTTTGTTTGCAACCTCGGCTTGGCCATTGGTTTGGGGATGCTCGACGGACGTGACCCTGTGTTTTATGTGAAGCCCTTCTAAAAATTCGTTGAATCGTCGATCTGTAAATTGCAGCCCATTATTTGTAACCAACGCATGAGAAAGACCGAAACGTGTAATGATGTTTTTCTAAGTAAACTTTTGAACATTATTAGTCGTAATGGTAGCAAGGGGCTCGGCTTCAATCCACTTAGTAAAGTAATCCACGGCGACAATGAGAAATTTACACTGTCCTTTTACTAAGGAAAAAGGACTGAGGTCCATACTCCAAATAGCAAAGGGCCAGGGAGAGCTAATAGGGTGGAGGATGTTGGCATGTTGGCGCAGGTGAGGACCATGTTGTTGACAAGGGATGCATTTCTTTACAAACGTGTGGCAATCTTGGGCGAGTGTCGGCCAATAGTACCCAGCTCTGAGTATTTTTGCTGCCATGGTTCGTTCGCCCAAATGGGTTCCACATACACCTTCGTAAATTTCCCTCATTACGTAACTAGTCTGGTCATCGTCAAGACATTTAAGCATAGGTGTTGAAACCCCTCTTCTATACAAGTCTTTGCCGAGGAGGAGGTATTTGGCTACATGAATTCTTATCTTCTTAGCTGAGTCTGGATTATTTGGCAGGCTGTTGTTGGTAAGGTATTGGATGATGGGGGTCATCCAATTGTGAGGCATATTTTCTATGTCCATTCACTCTTGTTTAGTGATACTGGGTTGGAGGATTTCTTGGTGAATCACACTTTGCAGTTGCCCAGGCTTCCTTTGACTAGCAAGTTTAGCAAGTCTAGCAAGCCTATCGGCTCGTTCGTTCATATTTCTTGGGGTGTGCCGAATACATATCTCATCAAATTCATCTTTTATTTTCTTAAATTCTTGATAATATTGGAGCATAACCGAGTCCTTAACTTGATACATATCATTAACTTGTTCGGCCACTATTTTTGAGTCACTCCAGCCAGTAATGCGTTTAACTCTCATCTCCTTTGCTAATCTAAGACCAACAAGTAAAGCCTCGTATTCGGCTTGATTGTTGGACGCCTTGAATCCAAACCGAATGGAGTGTTCGATGGAGATTGCGTTTGGCCCTTCGAGTATAACCTGTGCTCCACTACCGAACCGATTTGATGACCCATCAACGTGCAGATTCCACATATCCGAAGTAGTTTTTTATTGTGCAGTGAATTCATTAACAAAGTCGGCTAATACCTGAGCTTTAATGGGGCGTCAGTTCTCAAAATGAATGTCAAATTGAGAGAGTTCTATTGTCCATGCTACCAACCGACCAGCCAACTCAGGTTTCCTCAAAATTTTGGTCATTGGACAATCTGTGCGTACGATTACCCGATGGCTTTGGAAATAATGTCTTAACCGACGTGTTGTATGGAGTAAAGCCAATACTACTTTTTCCATCAACTGGTAACGGGATTCGAGACCTTGGAGTGTTCGACTGACAAAATACACAGGGGTCAGTTCAGGTATTTCTTGCAGTAAAACTGAACTGATGGCGTTATCTAATACGGCCAAATAAACAATCATCTCTTGTTCAGGCCTCGGTTTTGTCAGCACAGGCGGTGCTGATAGCATGTGCTTATATTGAACGAAGGCAGCCTCACACTCGTTGGACCAAGCAAATTTTTGAGATTTTTTGAGCAGTTCAATGAAAGGTCGAGACCTTTTTGCCATGATTGGTAAGAATCGAGCGAGGGCTGCAATCCGACCGGCAAGTTTCTTAACTTCTTTAACATTCCGAGGGTTAACCATTTCGATGATGGCTTGGCATTTGTTAGGATTAGCCTCGATTCCCATTTCAGATAACATAAATCCTAGAAACTTGCCCCCGGCTACCCCAAATGTGCATTTCTCAGGATTAAACCTCATACCATGCTTTCTGGCCTCCCCGAATACCTCCTCAAAATGGGCGAGATGTTGCTCCAGTACAATGGATTTAACTACCATGTCATCTACATACACCTCCATGCATTTACCTACTTGCTTCTCAAAAATTTTATTCATGAGTCTCTGGTATGTCGCCCCTGCATTCTTCAAACCGAATGGCATCACTCGGTAGCAAAAATTTGCTGAGTTCGTGATGAATACCGTTTTTTCCTCGTCAGGGGAATACATTTGTATTTGATTATATCCAGAATAAGCATCCAAAAAACTTAGTATCTTGTGACTGGATGCGCCATCTACCAAGGTATCAATGTTTGGTAGGGGGTACACGTCCTTTGGGCATACTTTGTTAAGGTCTGTGAAGTCTGTACACATTCGCCATTTACCATTGGCTTTTTTAACCATGACCACATTGGCTAACCAAGTTGAGTACCTGACTTCTCGGATAAAGCCGGCCTGTAGCAACTTACTAGTTTCTTCTTCTACCCCTTTTTCTCTATCACCACCTATCTTCCTTTTTTGCTGAGCTATCGGTTTGGCCCCCTTATAAACTGATAAGTGATGACATAGAAATGTCGGGTCGATGCCAGGCATGTCTGAAGCTGTCCAAGCAAATAAATCGGTGTTATTCTGCAAAATTTTTTGAAAGAGTTGCTTTTCTTGGATAGCCAAACCGACCCCCAAGTAAGTAACTTGTTCTGGCTTTGATCCAAGTTTGAAAGGCTGCTTGTTTTCACTAGGCTCAACCCGATACCCCTCATTCATTCTAGGGTCAAGTTCAACATCCAATTCCTCTCTGAACTGAGGGGATACAATGACATCTCGGCTACCTTCATGGAAAGGCTTGAGACGTAGGCTTGCGAAATAGCATTCTCTAGCTGTCTTCTGATTAGCGTGGACTGTAACGATTCGGCCCCTTTCAGATAGAAACTTCATGGCCAAGTACGGAGTAGGTACTACGGCCTTCAACTTGTTTAGGGATGGTCTGCCGAGTAGTATATTGTACAAGGTATTTGCATGAACTACCAAGTACGTGATCTTGATGTGCTTTCCTTTATGCTTTGATCCAAATGAGATATAAAGGTCAATACACCCACGAGTCTCCACCCGTTCTCCTGAAAAACTGACTAAGGGTTCTCGGTATTCTTTGAGTACCTCTTCTGGTATTCCCAGTTGTTTAAAAGTATTCCAGTAGAGGAGGTCAACAGAACTTCCCTGATCAATGAGTGTTTTTCGGACAGTGTAGTTGAGAATATCTACACTTATCACCATGAGGTCGTCTTGTACAAGGTCCACTCTTTGAAAATCTTCATCAGTAAATGTAATAAGGGGGATCCGAATCCTACTACCAAGTGAGATATTATTGACTGATCTGACTTGCCTCAAATGTCTCTTTCTGGCCGAATGGGTAGGTCTTCTCCCAACAAACCCTCTAGCTATAGTATTAATGACCCTTTTAGGATACTTCTCACGTTCATCGTATCATCTAATTGGAGGTTCCCTGGACCTACTCCTCTGTCGTTCAAGTCTCTTGTCATCGTATCTCCTTGATGGCTCAGGGTAACGGTCTCTTCCTCTATTAGATTGACTGACAGGATTTGTCTGCACAAAATCTTTTAAATGTCCTTCCTTTATTAATTCCTCTATTTTATCTTTTAGCGCGGTGACTCTTCGGTGGTATGACCCATGTTCTGATGGTATCGGCAAGCCTTGCTTTTATCTGCCCGATAAGGGGTGTTGGCGCGTCTAGGCATTCTCAGTATTTATGTAGCCAATGCTTGATCTAGTATTGTAGACCGATTAGTATTGAGCGTAGTGTAGGAAGAATATTTGGGTCCCCTGGGCAGCCTTTCAGGTTCATTTCTTCTCTCCTTATTTTCTTACCTAAACTTGAAAGTTTCTCTCCTATCTGTATTTTTTGAATTGGACCCCTGGTCCATCCGCACATGGTTTCGATATTCAGACAATTCTTCCATCTGCATATACTTTGCAGCACGACTTCTTAACTCGTCTAGGTCGACAGGTGATTTTCTGTAGATGCTATTAACAAAAGGTCCTGGCTTTAGGGCCGTTGTGAGGTGGTGCATAGCCACTGCTGGTTCTAAATTATGGATTGTAAGGGTCACTTTGTAAAAGCGTTCCATAAATGCTCTAAGTGACTCTCCCTTTTCTTGGCGAATATTAACCAGCGGCAAGGATGTTAAGGGATGTGGTCGGCTTGTGGCGAACTGTAAGTTGAACCGTCTTGCGAGTGTTGCAAATGAGTCGATGGATGAAGGGGGGAGTCGGGTGAACCAACTGAGTGCAGGCCCTCAGAGTGAAGTGGGAAAAATCCTACACCATAAAGAATCATTCTCGGTGTACAGACCGACTTGGGTTGTAAAGACATCCAAATGTTTCCTCGGATCAGATGCGCCATCATATTTATCTATTGTTAATCCTCTCCAATTATCGGGCAGCTTAGCCTCCAGGATATAGTGAACGAAAGGGCTTCGGCTCACGAGATCGCCTCGGTCATTTTTGGCTTCAGATTGATAAACTTGCTTTGATTTCTCTTGCAACGCTGAGGATTCCCCCTAATCCTGGATTATGGGCATAGTTTGGGAAGGGATGTGTGTTCTTATCTCTTCTCTCAAGTTAGCATTTTCCCTTCGCAGAGCCGAGAGCTCCAGTGCATCCTTCTCCCTCTCTTTCTTCATCTTCGTCATTTCTGCTTTGAGCTGCCTCAGTACAACTAAAATGCTCTCGTCGGTTGCCCCTTGCATCACAATTTCAGGTGTTGGGTCATCTGGTGTAACCCCCTCCAGATGTTGCTGAGAGGTTCCTCCCTGTTGAGTATGTCCTTCCTGTTGACTTCTCGTTAGTACCATGATTAATCTGAAAAATGAGGCTAACAATGCCCCACGGTAGGCGCCAAAATGTTCCTGTTAAGGAAACACTAGTCTCCAGGTCCTTGCTCTGAAACGGTGACGTATCTCTAGTAGTCGCTGACGTGGGGAGGGTACCTGCAAAAGGCACTCCGATGCTGAAGTCAAGATTCGGTTTTGAGTAATAAATGGTATTTAATAATGAAAAGTCAACCCTTTACCTGTACTTTTACCTTCCTTATATAGGCATTGTAATGGGCTAATGGGCCTGTCAAGCTAGTCTTGATTTTATCCCTTTATTTAAAATAAATAATATCTTGATTATTACCCTAAATTAGGTTTAATTACCTCTTAATCCTGACGAAGGGTATTCGGCCAAATTAGGCCGAATAGGTACTCGAATTCCTTTTCCTACAAGTAAAACCGAGTTGGTCTCTATCCGGTACAGCTCTAGTCATAATAATATTCTTGATAAAAAGTGTATACTCTTATTTTAAATAACAAGTTATCATTTAGATGAAGAGTTAACATATTAAATTAAAAATGATAATTTAATTTAGGATGTATTTGAATGATAACTTAATTAAACACTTAATAATAAGTTATTTTTGCATAAAAAATTTATACCATAAGATTTATCAATGTCAATTGTAGCAATCGGGATCACGATGGGATGATAGCCGTGTAGGAAAAAGGAATTATGTAGAAACAGGATTGTAATTAGTTTTAAAAACTAATTACATGGAGTCACTATCAAAGTTTATTAAAGAAAACATTAAAAAGAAATTTTAAAAAACTAATCTCAGAAATCAAAATTGAATTTGATAGTCGTTTATGCGTAAGAAATATATTAGTACCCTATGACATCCGTTGATTAAAACGGTTACCCTCTAGTTAATTGTGTAAAAATTAGTTTAATTTTAAACATAT